AAAAAAATGTAAAGGTCCTGTGAAGTGCTTTGAAATGTGCATTTTTTATTTGATGTTTGATGTAATCTTAACCAAAACACAGAGAGAGGGTGGAACATTGCATAGCTCCTCCCCTTTAAAAAAACAGCCAGTAGTGTTTTGTTTTACCACAGTGAGAGTGGTTGAGCTCAAGCGCATCAAATTAAAAGCAAATGAGAAGCATCTTGAAGGGGGCGGGGCTTGTCAGACACTAGAGAGAATTTGATTGGTTATGATGTAATGAGAAACTGAAGTGTGACATGAATAAAACCATTGATCCATTTAGGTGGAACTGACAAACTACAAGCTTTACATGTTTATGTGTTTATCATCATCTAAACGCAAAGTTTATCTCTGTTTTGGAGCACACAAGCTTATAGATATCTTAAAAACGAATAATACTGATACTAACATCTAAAAACGTTATTTTATTTTCATGGGACCTTTAAATATTCTGCCGTTTTATCTTCACACAAGACCGTTTTCATGCCAACTTTGCTTTGTCTCAGTTCTTCTGCTTTGGAAACAAAATTTAACGCTGCTGCGTGTAAAAGTTTCAATTCTTTTCACTCGTCACAGTACAAAGACACGGAAGTGTCGTGATGGAAGAAAAAAACTGGGTGGGAAAAAAATGGAAAACACTCAGTGATAGGAATTTTTTTTTTTTTTTGGTTTTTGCGTTTTTCTCGCAAAGATATTTGCATTTCCTTGCAAAATTGTTGTTCCACAAACACTTCCTGTTCACTTCATACATGTCAACCCTTCCGTTTTTGCCGGTGTGGTATTTTACCACTCTATCCCGCTATCATCCTATCAATAAACATTTTCCCATATTTCTCTCATATTTTAAATCTTGAAAGCACATTGAAATTAATATATAAATGTTTGCATTCGCTTTATTTCCATTAAAGCTGTTTGTCGATCATCAGCCTTTATATGCAACCTCTGAATGCATGTATAAGCAAGGGAACGCAAAAACTTTAAAATATTTATTTTTCTATCACTTTTTTTTCTTCCACCCATTTTTCCTTCACCATCACATCCCTTAGGTCTCCGTAACACAGCATCATGGGCTAAATTTTTTTCTTCTGTGATTCATATCGTTCTCAGTTGAGTGTAAATAATCCTGTTGTAATAACTGATATTTGCAGGTTCATATCAACACAAACCACTGAGCCGATTTATTGTTTCTCATATTTTGCTATAAACCCTTCATCTACTCTATGAAAAAAACAACACAAGAAATGATTCATCGTTTTTCTGGAATCAATCATAAGTACAGATCTAAATGGTTTATTGCTTCATGAGACAATATAGTTTTCTCCGTGGCAACCTCAGTGTAGTAGCACAACAAACAAGAGGTTGATCATGGGGAAAATGTGTGTGTGTGTGTGTGTGTGTGTGTGTGTGTGTGTGTGTGTGTGTGTGTGTGTGTGTGTGTGTGTGTGTGTGTGTGTGTGTGTGTGTGTGTGTGTGTGTGTGTGTGTGTGTGTGTTGTGTTAGCTTTGGTCAGAGGAGGCTGCTGTGTTTGGCCAGAGCTCTGCTGGCCAGGGTCAGAATCCTGCTTGTTGAAGAGCCTCTTCATCATGTGGATCCAGAAACTGAAGATTTGCTGCAACAGGTGATCCACGCGGAGTTTAAAGACTGCACAGTCCTGTTTCTCAGTCAAAACCCACTCAGTGTCCTGCACACGGACAGGTCAGAAACCACACTGAGACACGTCCTGTTATTAATAGTCAAGTTTGAGGGATTTATGATGTGGTGTTGTTTTCTTCAGGGTGCTGGTTTTGGACAAGGGACAAGCTGTGAAGTTTGATGCTCCTTCCACTCTCCTCCAGCAGGGGCCGCTGTTCAGCCAATAAGATCAGACCTGCTCTTACACTACAGTTAATATTGACAAATATTTCAGCGTATCCATTTCACATCATATTTTAGGAACAGTAAAACACAGTATTTATTAATCAGTTATGAGTATTTTAAGTTAATTTGAATATTAATATCAATCAGTTTTTAGTTAATGAAGGTTAAATTACAACAAACAGATTTTGAAATATTCTAGCAAGTTGTGAGGATTACTTTCAATTTTTACATTTCAGCTGATTTTCGTTTTGTTTATATATATATATATATATATATATATATATATATATATATATATATATATATATATATTAAAATATAATTATCTACATTTTGATTTGTAGTGATTAATTTTTATTGATATTAATTTTATATTATTATTAGAAGTAGTAAATTAAGTTTTAATTATAACAAACAAATTTTAAGTATTGTAAGTTGTGAGGGTTACTTTGACTTTGTTTACATTCCTTTCAGCTACTTTACATTTTGTTATTTATTTATTTGTATTCCTTTTATATTTATTTGCTAATATAATTATGTAGATTTTTATAATGTGTTATTTTAATTTTTTAAATTTTTTTAATGTTAAATGTATATTGTATATTTAGATTTATTATTAAGTTGATTAGTATGATGTATGAATTTATTACTGAAGGTTTTTTAACAATTAATTGAAGCAAAACAATATTTAATAAGCACAGACATACCAGTTTACAGAGTAACTCCAGTAAAGGACTGGTTTATTTATTTCATTTTTCGCCATACATTTGATTAGAAGAGTTTGACTTGGGTTGATTATAGCAAATAGTGGAACACAAACAGATTTTGAAATATTCTTGCAAATTTATTTATTAAATCCATTCAAATATTGTCATTTTTTGTACTGTGTAATTTATATTGATTTGCTCATACAATATTTACATTTCGCTTAAACAATACACTATTATTTATATTTAAAAATAGCTATATATAAATCAAATGTATAGCTCTTTTTTACACAATTAATCAAAGCTAAAATATTTGTCACACAAATACAGTAAGCCACTTCACAATGATATCTTCAAAATCTGTGCTTGACTGAATCATTTCATTTATTGTTTTGTAATTCACATTATACCTTACGTTCTCCAGGCACAGTTTGAATTGTTGATAAATGAAGATAATACATCTGATTTAATTAGTCTCCTTTGTTTATAATAACTTTAATCTAATTTGATAGTAATAATTCCAGCAATACATCCATTACAATAAAAATCGCTTTTTTATTTTGCACATTAGTTTGCCGGTATTTGTTTAAAGTTTCACCATACTTTTAAATCATGTGCTATTTGAAAAGGGCTGTTATGACTGGAATTAAATGTTTTTTTTTATATCAGTGTTTTAGATTGAAGTACAATATTTATAGGTAAAATTCACCAGCATATGCTTAAAGATAGCCATGCTCCAGGTCCTTGTGTCCTTCTAAGGTCTGTTTGTGGTTTAAGCTGTTTGTTGACACACGCTTGTCTTCTCCATTTTTCTGTGAAGTTATTGTCAGTTTATTGCACACTGGGTTGCATTAAGCTGCAGTTTTTTCACAACAGTTTTCCACATTGTAACAGTCAGTCTCCAAATTATTCCATCAGTCCTCAAATTTAGTCATTTGAGGCCATGAAAACACTTAAAACTACATGAAGGTAGTTTGGCATTAGGTTTTAGACTTGTTCTTGTTTGGCATATTGCAACCTGTGTAAAAATGATTTGATTTTTATTTTTTTTTTTTTTTTTTCAGAAAGAAACGGTCCAAAAAGAGTTATGTGAACATTTATCCATGTGTTTAATGTTTTTTAAATTAAAAAAAAACATTTTTATTAAACCACTTGTGACTAAACCTTTTTTAGTTATTCTATTTTGTGACGAGTCTGAATGGCCAAAGTACTCTTGAATCCAAAATCTTTATAGTAAAATGTTTAATCTTACTTGCAGTGTTGGGTATAATTTGTAACAAAGTTGAATTCCATATCTGCTGAGTGAAAAAGTAAAGTAAGAGATTGCTGTAAATATTTAGGTTATTTATTTATTAATACAATATAGAAAGTAACAAAACACAATGTAAAAAATCAATAAAGAAAGTAAATATTAAAAGTAATGATAAACTAATGATGTAAACAATATTAGCAACAAAGTTTGTACAATTCAGGGAGGGTAAAGAATTTCACCTAATAGTCAAACTCTGTATTAAATAATATAAAATCTTTGTTCTTAGTCTGAAGAGGAGACTGTGAGAGAAAGCTTACTGGTTGTTAAATTAGAAAATTTGTAACTTGCAGATTAAAATGATTTAAATAATTTTATAAAGGCCATGTTTGAAACAAATGTAAAAACATAATAAATGTTAAGAATTTCAGATATTGAGATTTTACAATTTAAAAAAAGCAATAAAGTAATAGCAGAGACCTACACTCTTAAAGTAAATTACCCAACTCTGCTTACTAGTAACTTTTGGAATAGTTACTAGTATCCATTGAACAAATACTAGAATCTAATTAAATTGTGTGAGTGTCCAATGAAAAGATTCTTGTATTTAAAACAGTACCAGTATCTATATATGTACAAAATTTAGTGCTAGCAAAATGCAAATAAATACTACTGCATATAATGGATTGCATTGTAAATCGACTCGCCATAATACATTTATTTCCTATTTTTACTTTTAACAAAAAATAAGTTCACTGAGTATTTCATGTCATTAAATCGCATTAAACCTCTTGCATGCTTTATGTACACTAGTGCAGTTCGCTAAATGACCACCGGTGTCACTAATAACACGATCGTTTCTGAATTCTGCATTAAACGCCATTTATACGTTGCTCTTATTAGTAAACAATTTCTCCATCATGAGCTCGACCAGTATTGCATATTTCATCCTCTTAAATCCAGAGTTGTTTCTTTTAATCACTTTCTCTTCATGATAAAAGCAGTTTTTGGTTTTCAGAAGTTTACAACAAACCCAGTCAGTTATTGCCTCAGCAAACACTGGAGCAACTGCACACTTGTGAAAAGCTTCTTGCGAAACACAAACCTTTCTCTGGACTTATAAATAAAGGCATTCAGCAGCTCCACCATACACCTCCACTGGTCTTGATAAAGCAGATATCAGCAGTGATACAATATGAGGCTGGCAGTGGTGCTTTTGTGTCTGGCGTGGATGTCCTCGTGTGAAAGCAAGACACTGGGACGCTGTGATGTTTACAAGATCTTCAAGAATGAAGGGCTTGATGGATTTGAGGGATTCTCCATTGGCAACTGTGAGGTTTATTTTTATTCTCATTACAAATATGCAGGATTTAGCCATTTTGTTTCTGTATTAGCTAATGATAAATATGTTGTTTCTGATATGAATTTGAACAGATGTGTGCACTGCCTACTGGGAAAGCAGGTTTAAGACCCACCGAGTGCGTTCAGCTGATACGGGGAAGGACTACGGGATCTTCCAGATTAACAGCTTCAAGTGGTGTGATGACGGGACCCCTGGTGGGAAGAATTTGTGCAAAGTGGCCTGTTCAGGTATGGTATTCTTGTAAATAGTTTATGTCAGAGGTGCCCAAATTTGGTCCTGGAGGGCCGCTGTCCTGCATAGTTGCAACTTGCTTCAACACACCTCTCTGGAAGTTTCTAGTATACCTAGAAAGAGCTTGATTAGCTGGTTCAGGTGTGTTCAATTGGGGTTATAACTAAAATATGTAGGACACCGGCCCTCCAGAACCGAGTTTTAAATGTTAAATTTGGCATGAAAACTTTAGATATTGGTAGCAAATTTCAGAAAACGGTCATAAATATGTTCACCAGCATGGACCACACCACACTTTAAGCTAGACTTTATTGTAGGGATGAAAGGGATGAAGTGGCATGAAGGGGAAGGGAAGTAAGAGGATAAACAGTGAACAGGTTGATTGGGTGTCCTACGATGATGCCCAGAGACTCAGAGTGGGGGTAGTGTCTCTGTAATGTTTTGATATAAGAGAGGGTTATAGGATTCTTAATGGGAAGCAAGGAAATAAAGGGAGGGAAGGTGGGTTTGAGAGAATGAGAAGTACAGTGCTAGAGGGCTGGTCTGCCTTAAATAAGTTTTAGAGAGTACGTGATTGGTTAAGGAGGCAAAGTGAGACATGGGCCTGCTGCCAATTCTTTGTTAATAATTTAACTTCATTAAGGTAGCATGTTGAATTGAACTTCAAATATAAAAGAAGAAAAACTTGAATAGTATTTTCCAAAATTTCTTGTAAACTTCTCAAATAATTACAAAGAAACAGAAACAAAAACCTTTGAATAAAATACTGAAAATATGTTTTCAAAACCATAGTTGAGACAAAACGCATAAAAAGACTGATTCAAAAGTTTATCTAAAAACAGAGTGTCCGTGGGGTTTTAAGAAGATATAAAAGTTGATAAATCAATGAAGAAAATTTTATTTATTTATTTTCTATGTATATATATATATATATAAATTTTTTTTTTTCACTTTTATGTGAGATAGAACAGTGGAGATTTCAGACAGGAAAGTATTGAGAAAAAAGAGAGGGGAAGGGCTGGCAAAGGGCCTCAAGCTGAGAATCAAACTCAGGTCACTGCAAAGCACCATGGTGCTATATGTCGGCACACTTAACCACTTGACTATTGGCGCCAACAATGTAAAGATATTTAAGGGCCTTAAAAGGTATTAAAAAGTCTTAAATGCTGTTTTGGTATTACATTTGATATAATCTTTGATTATGCGAAGTGTGGTTGTATCCTAAAGTTTGCCTGAATTAAATCTGTGAATATCAGGATGCTGTGTAGTTTATGAAATCAATAAAAACCTGCTAGATTTGACATCATGCTGCTTTGTTTACTGCAGTGACCAAGGCAACACCTTTATTTCTGCAATTCTTTAGGCGCCAACCTGCTGAATTATAGCTAGATTTAATTGGTTTTCATTCAGTATCTAAAAAATGTTTTAGTTTTGGATTAGTTTCTTACTTTAATATTTAGTAAATATACTGTAAGTTAAAATCTTGCCAGTGTTTCCGGTTGAAACCTAAAGTGGTTATAAGTTTGAAAATGTATGGAAAGAGCCTTGAAGGTCTTAAAAGGTACTGAATTTCACTCTCTGATTCCTGTATATACTCTGAAAAAATATTAAGCATAATTGTATCAGACAAAACATAAAATAGTTCCGTTTCCTCGTGAGATCAGACTGAATATAGAGAAAAAGAAGAATTGCAAAGAGTAAAGGTAGAATTGTGAGAGCAAGTCCCCACCCCAGTTTATTATTACTTTTATTATTAATTTAATATACTTTGTGTCTTAACATGCAACAAAATCTGTCAGTCAAAATGCTATTCATTAAACCTAATACAAGAAATAAGCTAGTATATCAAGAGATAATAAATATCATTGAATAAATGTCCTCTACATGAACAAAAATTTTGTTTCTATATAAGTCAACGGTAGTTATTTGAACATGCTACTTATTTTGAGGTGCATTTGAGGTGAATTGTGAGTTGAAAATTATAATGTATTGTTTGTGTTGTGTTATGCTGACTTTTTGACCCATTATTGATTGTAAAACTTTCCTATAATACTTCTAACACTAAAAATCTATCCCATCTGCTAGACTTGCTTAACGATGACCTGAAAGCTTCAGTTGAGTGTGCAAAGCTGATTGTGAAAATGGACGGGCTGAAATCATGGCAAGTATTCATCTCTGGGCACAAAATGACAAAGTGTGTTTGTTACATTAATAGAAATGTGACCTCAGTATCTTCTTATCTGTGCGAGTATTGATCAGTGTTGTGTTTTTAGCATAATGATGTTGATCTTTTTGCGTCTGCAGGGAAACCTGGGATTCTTACTGTAACGGTCGTAAGATGTCCCGCTGGGTAAAAGGCTGTGAGCAGCGCAAACAAAGCCTCCGAGCCTGATTACCTACAGTCATTATGTGCTAATGCATGTAAAACATTTTAAACAGGCATCGTCATCATTAATGTTTGAGATGAATATTAAAGCATCTTCCTAAATTGTATACTGTTTATGTGCACGTCTCTTTCTTCTGGTTACAGTAGTGTGAGTAATAGCTTGTTTGATAGTACTAGACGGTAGCAGTGAGCTTTTATTTAAGTAGCTTTTGCTAAAAGTGAAATAATCTGTCATTGAAAACACATATCGATTGTCCCCTGCTCTGAATATTAGATGCGTCTACGCTGTGCTCATGTCTCTTACATTTAAATGTCAGGTGAATTAAAAATATATGAACTGGACACATGCATAAAATCAATAAAGTCCATCCGTCATCCTTTAAAACCCCACCTGAGTGCAATTGCACACTGAATGTCATTGTCGTAACCCCATTCATTAGCATTTAATGGCTTTGACATTTGAGTTTGATTTCTGGCTTACAGATGCACCGTAAAAACGTTTAGTTTTTTTTGCAAAGTTGTTAAAGAAAACAAAGATTATCACGGCACGTTTACACAAAAATGTTATTTCAGACTTTCTGCCTCAACAAGAAACCCTGAAACAATTTTGGGGTTGTAGAGGTTGCACATCATTGAAAGGTGAAATGGCACTAAATGTTAAGAACAAATGGAAGTTGGTTGTCTTTAGTTTTTTACAGCTAGAACTTCAAATATGAGGCATATGCATTTATTTGGAGTGATGAAGGGGCTGAAGACTGTCTGTTATTGGTTTCTCTGCATTTATTCATGAAAAAGTTCATACTAGTCACTGCTGCATATTATGCATGATTGTATAAATGTACTGTTATGCATGAGAAAGATCACTTCTGTTGCTTTTATCTACTTTGATTGTTGTCTTTTAGAGATAATAACGGTACGTTTTTGTTTCCAAATTGTGAATTAAACGGCGGCTCATGTTTGTTTCCCAGTTTTGAAAAAAGACTTTCTAGAAAATAGAAATAGTTGCAGCTCTGAGAAAATAATTGTGAGAGAGCCAGAATTGTGTGGAAAGGGGAGAAAAGATAGAATTCTACAATAAGAGAATTAAAATCTTTGCTTTGAGAGAATTTATACATCTTTATACAATTAGTCACACTGTAAACTCTAATAAGTTGAGACTACTCAAATGATTTGAGTAAAGTGATTCCCTCAGTTTGTTTGAGTAATGGGAAATGCACAACTCAATTAATTGTGTTGACCAAACGCAGTCTCTTCATTGAAATAACTTAAATGTTTAAGTACAGATGACTTAAAATGGCTAATAGACTAAACGTTCACATTTTTCAGCTTTTATATTCTTTACTCATTCACTTACTCCCAGGGTTGTTTATATCGAAGTTGATATTTAGCCGCACCATGTTGGTGTTTCGTACCACCAAATTTTTATGAGGTGGGTCATTAACCCAACGCTCAACCCCCTACCTGGAAGACCAGGACATGAACACATACACTATGGACAATTTAGCTTACCCAATTCACCTACAGCACATCTTTGGACTTGTTGGGGAAACCGGAGCACCTGGAAGAAACCCACACCAACACGGAGAGAACATGCAAACTCCACACAGAAATACCAACTGGCTCAGCTGGGACACGAACCAGCAACCTTCTTGCTGTGAGGTGATTGTGCTACCCACTGCGCCACTGTGTCACCCCTCTGAGTATATCAATTAAGAAATTGTATATAAGCATTTAAATATCGACATACTAATTTAATTTTTCTCTTTGTCAGATTGGTTCAGGCAGTGCCTCTTTCCTGCTGTGCTTCAGCATCACAAGCAAAATGACCACCTGATGTCAAATATATTGACCAATCAGTGCGATTTTCAAGGCAGAATTTCAAGCACAACCAATCATTTTAAACAGCGACATGGTGAATCAGTTAAATAAATTAAAAAGTTAAGTTCGGAAAACTTAAAATATTCATTAATTTTTTTTGCTGCCTAAAGAGCAAGTTAAACACACCTGTTTTTGTTTTGATGCCAAAACTTGGTATTTTAAGTAATGTCAAGTTATGTTAACTTAATTTCTTTAGTTATGAGAACATCAGGTTTACAGTGCACAGTTATGAGATATGAAGAACTGTGAGAGAAAAAAGTCAGAATTGAGTCTATAAGCGTACAATTGTGGTTGTGAAATGCATTATGGGAGTTTTATCTCTGCTCTGGCAACTTTTGGTATTTAAAATTTAACACTGCAGTTTAACAAAGTGACTTTCGTTGGCATTTCAGTAGTTTGAGACCCGATATTTTTAGCAAATAATATGGAGAGAATTAATAAAATAAAATAACAGAAAAAATACTGTCAGTTTATTACCAGGTTTCGTACCGTAATTCTCAACACAAACAGACAATAAATCACTTCAAACTATTAAATAATTCAAACAAAACTCACTTTTCAAACATTTCAACATCAAGCTTTTGGAGGAAAGAGTAAGATCCCATAATGCAGTTCAAAAGCATAAATAGGTGAAAAAACCATGAATCGCAAAATACGAAAAACTGCTCATTTACAGAGATTTTGAGAACATAGAATTTTGTTTCAATTCTGCAATTACAGTAAATGTTAGAAATGCGAGACAGACTATAAGCTTGCTAACTCTAGAAATAGTTGAGACATCCAAACTGAGGGAAGAAATCAGAAAAAAAGATATGAGAGCTCTATAAACTCGCAATTAAAACAATTAGTCAAACTTTTGATGTTTAGACCAGTCCAGACTACATCAAATAGTTACTTCATTTCTAAGAAAAAGTTAGAATTGCAACTTGCAAAACAGCCTATAAGCTTGCAAATGCTAATATTATATTGGTTTTGTGATTTAGAGTCTTGTTTAATTATTAGTATTATATTTAATGCCTTTGAAGTAAGCACACACATTCCCCCAAGCAGAAATACATCTAATTGACTAGTGATGAAAGCGTCTTTTCAAATGAGTTTAATATACAGTTGAAGTCAGAATTATTAGCCCCCCTTTATTTTTTTCCTCAATTTCTGTTTAATGTAGAGAAGATTTTTTCAACATATTTCTAAACATAATAGTTTTAATAACTCATTTCTAATAACTGATTTATTTTATGTTTGCCATGATGACAGCAAATAATATTTGACTAGATATTTTTCAAGACACTTTTATACAGCTTAAAGTGACATTTAAAGGTTCAACTAGGTTCATTAGGTTAACTAGGGTTAGCGATGGGTTGTTCTGTAGACTATCGGAAAAAAAGCTTAAAGGGGCTAATAATTTTGACCTTTTATTCTAGCCAAAATATAACAAATAAGTCTTTCTCCGTAAGAAAAAATATTATCAGACGTACTGTGTAAATGTCCTTGCTCTGTTAAAGATCGTTCTGTCTTCAACTGTATATAAAAGACTGCAAAAGTTTGAAAATCGACAAAAATTTGATTGACTTGAAAGTGACTTGCTAGACCAAGCTACGACTTGACTTGAAGCAGTGACTCGACTCGACTTGACTTGCTTGAGACTTGAAGGTTATGACATGAAACTTGCTTGTGACTTGCACATGTGTGACTTACTCCCACCTCTGGCTAATGGTCAATTTTAAAAAGTCAAGTGTAAGAAAAATATCTGAGGAAAAAAGTAAGAAAAAATTTGAGAGAGCTATAATCTGTCAAGTAAAACAAATAAAGTCAGAACTATATAAAATAGTCATTTTTATTCTGAAAAAAAAAATGTAATAAGTGAGACTCTTAAGTCACAATTTTGACTAATTTGTCAGAGCTGAGAACAAAAAATTTGATTTGAGTGGCCTATAAACTCGCAATTACATGAAATAATTAGCAGTTCTGAGATAAAGTGAGAATTGTGAGATGTAAAGTCAAAATTGGAATAGAGTTTGTAAACAATACCAAAATGCTATTCTGAGAATGAGCGAGCACTGTAAAAAACATGTTGTGTTCCACACAATCGATTTGTGTTGCGACAACATGAAGGAATTAAGTTAACATATACGTTTTTACAAATTTAAGTTGATTGAACATAAAACAATAAGTTATCCCCCCCCCAAAAAAAAGTCAAAAATTGTGTTGTTTCTACTGAAATTTACCTTGAGACAACAAGCCTGAAAAATTTCTGCATACAGGGGTAAATGGGAAGAAATGTATTGTTTTAATTTCATTGTGGTGCTTTTACTTTATATATGTTTGGAGCCTGTTGATCTTTGACACGTAACCCTTAACAAAATTTTATATAGCAACATTTTATCAACAATAAATACAAATTTAAATAAGATGGTATTCAGTGACCTTTGACACTTGTATGTCTTTTTTGTTTCCATGTCCTTTAAAAATGTCTGTTTGTTAAAAAAATTTGTTGTTTCGGCTCATTTAAAATAAGTAATTTGACTAAACAACATTGTTTTTTTCTATGAACTTACAACAGCAAAAAAAGGTAACAATTCTGAGAGAAAATATGAATTGCAAGACAGCCTATACACTTGAAATTTCATAATCACAAGATATACATTGAAATTCAAGAAACTGACTCAGAATTGTGAGAGACCCAAAAAACTCACGATTGGACGAATAAATCAACACGAGCATTAAACTTGAAAAATATCACAATGTGTGTATCTGCAATAGTCCGCACAGAATTATATTTATTAAAGATTAAAGGATAAATATTAATATATTTTTAATCATTTATACTATTACCATGTTATTTTACATTTAATTGTTCAATTTCTGTACTTGAATACAGTTAAACTGCTAGATTTATGCAGATGCGCTGCATAGAAAAAGACTGATCTAAATTAATCCGATCTAAAAGAATGAAATCTTTCCAAATGGAGCTCTTCAAATCACCTGGTGAATTGATATTCATATCGCAATATTTGCAGCAAAACAAAATATCGCAATGTCAGATTTTTCCAATAGCACGCAAACTCCGCATTTCCATCATAAACTGCATTCAACTGTACTGGAGCGGTTTGGATCTTGTTCGGGTGAAGAATATGCGACGCTTGTGTTGTGTGTCTCTAATAGGCTAAAATCACCCCCCTCTCCAGATGGGAAAGGGTTTGTTTCTTTAATTCTACCCTGTGCCTCCAGA